GACATATGTCACATGTATATTTGCCTGTGTAGAACCGTGTAGATGCATTTTAGCATGGATAGCTTGCTCAAACGTGTGAACTACCTGGGTCCAGCCCCGAGCCAACGACTAGGCATACGGTTGTAAACGAGCCCTCTGCCATTTGCCTTACCCTGTACTGCCGTGCGCTGGCCATCCTGGGCCGGAATGCGTAAAGCAATCAACGAAACAACGGCTCGTGTTGAAAACAGCGTAGCAAGAACAATGGGCTGTCCAAAAATAAAGACCCACGGTGATGTCGAACCATCTTCTCTAAGACACTAAGACACTCCCTCTTCCAGTTTGCTGAGTCCTCTGGATGTGATTAACCACTATCGTGACATTTAACCAGTGACGGACTCAGCAATGTATACACCGATCAACTAACTCTGCACCCTAGCTTGACGATAGCTCAGCAGTTTATCGACATCATCAAGGATAAGACATAGTTGCCGCTATTCTTGGGGCGAGCCGGCGCCAAAAAAAACTACCAGCGGCGAGAACTGCACACTCCGCCGTACATCTCCCGCTCCCTAACATATGCGACGGGTGGCGGGGCGGCTGTCTGCCGCGGGCCCACCGGTGGTCCGCACGACACGTGGCGAGGACCAGCACGGTGACCCCTGACCCCACCAACTTCCCGTGATCCGCCCATGCCTCCAACGCTCGCGAATCGGGGCCACCGGTCCCAATGAAATGGAGTGGAACTTCGCGGCCGCAGGTGTAGCTCTCATCAGGGCATTGTCGAGAGATTTCTCCCTGGGCCTTCCGTTTCCACTAGCTCGGACGTCACTTCCGTGTGGGCGACGACGGGTTCTCGGGGCGCCGCGAGATGCCTTCAGACATCGGCCTGTGCGAGCCGCAGTCTGACTGTGCCGGACTCGGCCTCATGCTGAGTTATTGCTAAACGTGGGGTTCATTCAGTTGGTTAGATATATGGAGTGAACTTGTCTGTGCGACGGAGAAAGTCACTGTCATGTTGCAAAGCGACAATGGGGTTGGTGAGGGACAGGCCGATCGGGACTACTATGTTGACTCGTATCGCCGATAGAGTTCAGGGCCGTACGGTGGGGATGTTCATACGGTTCCTATATCCCATTTTGCGCACCCATGTGCTTTTGGAGACCCATGAGCCATGAAACCCATACGACTCATGTTCCCCATCCACTTTTGGAGACCCATGGCATGATGATGAGCGTAGTCACATGCGCTGATGCTTGTCGGAGCTGGTTGGTGGATAGATAACACTCGGCAATTACGGAAATCATTTTGGCAGTTCAGACGAGTAGCGTGGCTCGGCAGGGGCAAGTCGATCTTAGATATTTTATTTGGATCAAACACTAAGTATTGACCGCGTCCGACTTCAAAAACGTCCCTAGGTTTTCTGACAATTTTATCCATTGTATTGCCGTGCGCCTCATTCCATGTGAGAGTCTTACAATCGCTTCTGATTTTGGAATCCAGGGTAAAGCAGCTTGACGAAACCTGACAACTGTGTAAGCATCATCTTAGGAGTACTTAGCTTGATGACGGCTAAGATCGATGCACGATTTAAAACGCTCAAATCGCACAGGAGTGTTCTTCGAATAACAGAAGGGCTCCATTACCTGTTTTGTATGATTTACGGTGAACAGTGCCAGTGGATGGTGACCTGACCTATGTGAGGGGCACACACAGAGTTAAGTGGTCGTTAAGGGCACACACGTAGCCAGGACATGCCACAGCTAGGGGTCCAAGCGACCATACTACCGAACTAACCCAAATTTGTCGGTAGTAGCTACCACATGGAGGCAGACAGTAAAACCGACTGCTTGCGCTTGCGCCAGCTGAGAGAGTTAACGTAAAGACCACGGTGTGATGCTGCCAACACCAGTCTTTCAAACCGCAGCTCATTGTCGATTCCATCAGCTGAAGAGAGAGCTCAAGTAAGAGAAGGATCCTGTGATTTCCTCTCGAGAAGAAAAAAGCTCAACACAGGCGTTGAGGCGGAGATGTTCTCAACGTCCGCGTTCAGATCTTAAAGCGCATTTGAGCAGGTGAATCCGATCGTCCTCGACCGACCTGAGATCTCTTCCGAAGACCTGTATGGCATTTGAACAGAGCTTTACAGCCTTTGTGGAGTGTGCTCGTTCGTTTAGCTTTCAGACCTCTGCAAGTCGCATCACTAACAATATGCGCAAAGCATAACAGTTTCCTCCTCGGTGTGCTCGCTCTGTGGTCTACGGAGGAGTGATGGTCATTACACACCGACAGTTCTTGGGCCGGACTGTCAAACCAAGCCATGCATACTGCCTCCTATTCGGACATCTTTTCCAGTTCCAACTGTCACCTCCGTCCCCGGGGCCATCTATGGATACAGCGAACACCAACAGTGCAAAGTAGCGTAAAATCCAACTGCGCCGAGCTGTGAACGCCACCGCGTTCATCGGATCCCGTGAACAGGCAGCCATCGGCCAACCTCTGCGGAAGTCGGCTGGGGCTGAATTCCGAGGAACTCTATCAAGCCTCAATATTCTGGACGTCTTGCTACCTGGCGTCTAGGCTGAAACTCGTAGGCCGAGATTTCTCCTGCCTTGCGCTCGTGCTGTTACAGTTTCTGACTTGCCTTTTACTTAGCTGGTGGTCGAGGCAAGTGAGTATGCTGTGGTTGATAACGGTGTGTACACCATAGCTGGCAGCACGCGATCTATGTTCGTCGTGCATACATGCTAACGTCTGCTAAACGAATGACATTGCACTGCAGCGCTCCTGCGCTTCTGCGCTTCTGCTGCTGCGACATTGCAGCGCCTGTTTGGGCACATAACTTCGCGGACGCGAGGGAGCGTCTGCAGTTGCTCAGTTTGGTGACATATATTACTTGAACTCCCCAAGTGAGGGGGGGGGGGGGGGTGGAAGGGCATCTCTTCTGAGATTCGGACGGGTGTCACTGACGGAGGCTCTCCTCTGAGATTCGGACGGGTGTCACTTACGGAGGCGTCAGAGATGACGCTCCCTTCGTCGGGTCATTGCGAGCTGGACAGGGGCCGATGTCGGACGGGTCAGAGGACATACAGGTCGGACTGATCACGGGTCGAGGAAGGTCGGAGACCCTCATCACGCTTCGTCCTCAATGCCCGCAGCGCCTCGTATATCCGGGACAAACTTCGTGCACCAGGCACGAGTGGACGTAAATTTCACCTGGCAGACGCCCCCCCCCCTCCTCCCCCCTCTCTCCCACGCAGAAGCGGTGTTCCTACGCGAGCTAATTCTCAGCAGAGGACTTCTAGGCGCACGTGGTCTTGTGACACCGCTATCCATTTTCCCTCATCCCACATCTCTGAAATGATCGCGGTTGGGCAAAACGGGTTTAATCAAACCAAACCAAACAGATCCCATCAACCATTGTGGACTGGTTGGAGGTCGGGTAAACGCATCCCCCGGGGAAACAAGGGAATCCCCAAAACATCTTTGCGCATGCCTAATCAGCATCGTATGCCGCTCGCTTCAGACTTGTATCTACTGTGCCGACATTTGTCGCTGGTGCTTGTCCATGAACAGAAATGCCGGACAGCATTGTGATTCGAGGCATGGCTATGTTAGGGTCAAATGACCTTTATGACCCCTCCGTCAAATTACCTTTTTAGCATATAAAGGTCAAGTGACGTTTACATACGAGAAAAAAACAGTATTGTGATAAATGCGATAAATAATGCACACCATAGATATCTGGTAGACCCATTTTGTGTCACCCAGTGCCAAACGGCAGTTTTTATGTGCCGTAAGCCGTCGGACACGATTCGCGGTTGGGCGGATGCAAATATGCTAGTGACTGCTATAATAATATGATAGTATATACTATGTATATGCAAATATGCTAGTGACTAACATTTTTCCACGCATCACCTCAGCACTGTATTGCTGAATTTAACAGATACGATATCGTGTCTAATCTGCGTCTGATTACATAACATGAGTGGCACAGATGGACAGTAAGGACTGGTAGTCTTGCTCACCATATTACGTCTACTGTAGTCTAGAGTAAACACGATGGCACTTGTGTGTGCTTCTCTGTTCTGTTGCTGCCAAAGTTGTGCGTTAAACCAAGTGATCTCGCTTCATGCTTGCCATACCAGCTTTCATGGTCTTAAATTGAGAGGTAGTGTGAATTGTTTTTGTTAAGTGTGGTCTTTCAGGCACTTTAATTTTTTGATGCCTCATCCTGCCTTCAAGTTATCCGTAGCAACATATTTACTGTATTACAGCGAATCATATGCCTATGCCCCATTCAGTAAAGACCTTGACATCACAGATCGAACCCTCGTGAACTATTTGCCCTTTGGCGGCCAAACGGGTGGACGGCTCCAAAAAGGATATAATACTTCTTATTAATCTACATGTAACTTTACATGTTCGGTAACAACTTCAGGTCAATCAGACACTAAAAACAGCCCCCGAAGCCGATGCCTATTGGAGCTCGAATGCCACCTCATTGCCAAGATCATGCGGATCTCACCACGGCGAAGGGGAAATAATAGTGAGGGGTGCAGAGAGGGTTGCCAGCAACGAAAGAAAAGAGGTTACTCAACCTTTCGCAGAAGGTTATGGCATGTTAAAGAAAACCATGCGGGGGCCCACAAGAATGAGAAGGAAGCTCGCTTCAGTGCCAGCTCTATACTGATCTGTGTTAACTCTGCATCAGCAAAACAGTGCAACGTCCGCAGCATTATGCGTGGCGTGGGAGCAAAGAACTGAAGCCACCGTTGTATAAATGGCAATGTTTCATTAATCCGCATCGGATCCTACCGTAATGCTTTCATGGGGTGATCGTTAATGCTCGCTGAAATGTCTACTTGAAATTAAAAAAGGAAAATGTGCATTCGGAGTCTCGAATCCCTTTAAACTGGACCGAAAGGAGACACAGATGTGAGAAAAGCTTGTTTCCCAGCGCTGAGTAGGGTAGTCATCCGCCACCACGTGCCCGCAATCACCCTTCAAAAGCCTACCTTGCGAAGGCTGTTGACGGCCTCGTTCACACCAGGACCGAAGCGGGTCACCTCTCGTCGAGGGCGACTTGGCGGCGAGCTGTCTGAGATCGGGCGAGGCGTCCTGGAGCGCGCTGTCGGGACGAGTGCAGCGCGCCGTCCGAGCACCACGGTCGTACCTGGGGGGGGGGGGGGGGGGGGGCGGCGCGCGCCGTCCGGTTACGTATTCGGCGGATCGTGCTGCGTGCGGAGGGGGAGGAGGACGGGGCGCTGGTACGCAGAAGAGGTTTGTCCGCGCACGGCAGAGGCCAGAGTTTCGAGAAACTGGATGCGCTCGGTGAGGTTCCGCGCGTCACCGCGGAAGTGTTGCGGCAAACATATCGACCAACAGGGGTGTTTATGGCATCCGCTGTGCCTGACGCTACTCTTATGCAAAAACGCGTGCAAACATTACTTATACGCGATGCTGCGTCTACTACAAAACTCAAACATTGCATGAGTTCTACATGCCTAAACCTATACTGCAAAAACGGATCCTCGCCGTTGGTTCTACAGCAAATATTTATGCAGATTTTCTGGTATGCGATAATACCTTTCCTTTGAAAACCTATGCGTGTCATCCGTGCTACCCGACAAAGCTTGCACCGCAAAAAATGTATATCCACCACTACCTCTACAGCAAAGACTTATGCAGCTTTTACTTATTCGACATGCGAAATTGCCTCTACCGGAACGAGTAATATGTGACACTGGTGTGGCACAACAAACCATAAAAAGGATACGGAGAAAGAAATACGGATACTAACTACTAGCTTGTCAAATAAACAAGCCGTCCGGAAAGTGACAAGCTAAAAGCTTGTAGAGATTACGACCATTGGCTAAACATACCAACATTTCACAGGGGCTTGCTGCTGCAATACAATAGACGTACTTGTGCGTGCAGAGCCAGTGCAAAGGTCCCCCTGGTACTGGCCTTTTCAAAGCAAGGAATTGTCTTGCAGCTTGTACTAAATAGCTAGGATCGTTCTTGTTCTTGCTGCGTTCGTACATTGGTAGTAATCCTGTCCGTGGCTTCTGCTAAAATACGTTTTGTGCTCTTTTTTTTTGGGGGGGGGAATGGTAATGCAGTCCATGCATGGTCTCATAGTATGTGTGGGTACACCAAGAATGGTATGGCAAAGCGTTCCAGACCCTCATCTGTTTCAAACTTCTCAACAGGCACCTTAAGGAATTGCGAATATTACACCGCGTTTATCGTCAGGCAGGGCCAGAGACTCAGCCTGGGCAGGGCATACTTTGCTGCGATGTCACACAGCACATCTGCCTTTCGAAAAAAGCTAAAAGGCAGTCCAAGTTTCATCACAGATCACCCGTCAGTGGCAACCTGCTTAGTCAAGGAGTTTCCTCAGCCTGGGGCACTTTTGCGACGAGCTCGCGGTGGGCGACGAGCTGGCTAAATTCGGGGAGTGGGGCCACTCACACCGCGACGCTGGATACAACACTCCCGCGGAGACCGGTGACGGTATCCTCCACATGCAAGCCCACCCCACCCGCCACTTCGTCCAAGGCTGGTTGTTGACCGCTACAGACGACGCTTCTTTCACGAACAGGTCTTCTGCATAACCGCTTCGCAGCAGCTCGATCAGCGACTCGCACAGGTATGCGTCTGCTGAAGAGCGGCGTTTGCGCACTAGATACGCGCACGTCGCATGCCATTGGTATAAACTCGTGAGTGAAGTCAACTCCCCGGGATGCGAAGAACCGCCTGACCTGATATGCTGCATTTATGCCGGGAAAGTGCGAAAAGCTTGCGTCTTATTCTAAAAATGGAAGAAAAGCACATTGGCAAGCACAGAGGAAAGTTGAGGACAATATCATCTAGTTTGCACTTTCTGCGGTATTATGGGCACATATGGAGTTACGAGCACAACGACGGAATCGACATATTTACATATGAGTCCCTATGTCCACAAATGCGTCTGAAAAGGTTCTCGGCTATTTACAAGCTGCGTTAGCATTTCGGAAGTTACATACCATTCAGGTAGTCAATCAACCTGGTTAACATTTGCACCTTCCCTCATCTCAATGACCTCTGTAATTTACTGACTCGGCTGTCAACCGTGGTATTTTTATGATTAATTGTTCTCCCCCCTCCCCGGTTTCTTATGACCCGCGGTATCCGTGGAGCTATTTGTATGATTTGACCCAACCTTCCGGAAGGAAGGATTTCTTGGATCAGAGCTCGCGATGGGAAGCGCTTGTCGTGTGGACCCTGACCCCCACCACCTGATCATGAATTTTCAGGCCAATGGCAATATTTGGTGGCGATAGTTCAACGTTCCGAACCACTCAAACGCGGCCCATCCTTCCTTCTGACGTCACCCGACCTTAACCGCGGCCCCAGCCGCAACCGAAGACGCGGCTGTCAAGGGCAAATAGCGAGTGCCCAAAACGACTCGAATACACCTTGCCATGGGTGGGTGGATCGAGCTTTAATAAGGTGGGTGGGGGGCGCAGGGTTGAAAAAGCCACCCGGCTAAAAGTGCCAGGCACGCCCCACTTGACCTCAATGTGGCACGTTTTTCTTCGGTGCATTTTAAGTTTAAATTTTTTAACTGATGCACAAGCCAGAAGTCTCGATGAGATGCAATTATGTTAGCATTTAATGTTAATAAACTGAAAGAAGCTGACATGTTCAAGGCTTGAAACACATTAATGAAAATACTTTTTTAATTCTCGTTTTGTTTTTTGCTCTTTAGGCTGTGAGCGCACAGGGTCAAACTCTTCCACTTGCCGACTTTGAAAATTATGAGCGTCCTTGGCAGTTTAGTTGGCCTTTTAGCGTTTCTGGCAGCATCTTAGCCATCTATTTTGAACACTAATGAGCTCCTTATCTTTCCCCGCACGAGGGGGCCGTGGGTAGAACATTAGCGGGGATGTTATCGTTCCCGGTCAGGGGCTGGAGGTCCAGTCCGTTCCAGCGCGGGGCGAATGCCGGCTACCATTCTGGCGACACGGCGGCAGGGCCCCCAGGTCGATCCGGGGGCCCTGAGAAAGATAGGTCATACACTGGTCCTCTCAATGACGTGAGAGGTGTCAGCGGGAGGCGTTGTCTGACTCGTGAGAGGTGTCAGCGGGAGGGTGGTCTGACTCGTGAGAGGCGTCATCGGGAGGGCAGTCTGACTCGTGAGACGCGTCATCGGGAGGGTAGTCTGACTCGTGAGAGGTGCCATCGGGAGGGTAGTCTGACTCGTGAGAGGCGTCATCGGGAGGGCAGTCTGACTCGTGAGACGCGTCATCGGGAGGGTGGTCTGACTCGTGAGAGGTGTCAGCGGGAGGGTAGTCCGACTCGTGAGAGGTGTCATTGGGAGGGTAGTCTGACTCGTGAGAGGTGTCATCGGGAGGGTAGTCCGACTCGTGAGAGGTGTCACCGGGAGGGTAGTCTGACTCGTGAGAGGTGTCATCGGGAGGGTAGTCTGACTCGTGAGAGGTGTCATCGGGAGGGTAGTCTGACTCGTGAGAGGTGTCATCGGGAGGGTAGTCTGACTCGTGAGAGGTGTCATCGGGAGGGTAGTCTGACTCGTGAGAGGTGTCATCGGGAGGGTAGTCTGACTCGTGAGAGGTGTCATCGGGAGGGTAGTCTGGCTCGTGAGAGGTGTCATCGGGAGGGTAGTCTGACTCGTGAGAGGTGTCATCGGGAGGGTAGTCTGACTCGTGAGAGGTGTCATCGGGAGGGTAGTCTGACTCGTGAGAGGTGTCATCGGGAGGGTAGTCTGACCCGTGAGAGGTGTCATCGGGAGGGTAGTCTGACTCGTGAGAGGTGTCATCGGGAGGGTAGTCTGACTCGTGAGAGGTGTCATCGGGAGGGTAGTCTGACTCGTGAGAGGTGTCAGCGGGAGGGTAGTCCGACTCGTGAGAGGTGTCATTGGGAGGGTAGTCCGACTCGTGAGAGGTGTCATTGGGAGGGTAGTCTGACTCGTGAGAGGTGTCAGCGGGAGGGTAGTCCGACTCGTGAGAGGTGTCAGCGGGAGGCGTAGTCTGACTCGTGAGAGGTGTCAGCGGGAGGCGTAGTCTGACTCGTGAGAGGTGTCAGCGGGAGGCGTAGTCTGACTCGTGAGAGGTGTCATCGGGAGGGTAGTCTGACTCGTGAGAGGTGTCAGCGGGAGGGTAGTCTGACTCGTGAGAGGTGTCATCGGGAGGGTAGTCTGACTCGTGAGAGGTGTCATCGGGAGGGTAGTCTGACTCGTGAGAGGTGTCAGCGGGAGGCGTAGTCTGACTCTGGCACTTGGTCCCAGCTCGACGCAGGAGCCGGCATTGACTTAAGATTCCTGATCGTCGCAGGTGGTCCAGTAACTGGCGCAGAAAAACCAGTTCGGCTTAATGATATTTGGTTGAAATGAAGTGCGTGGCCCAGTTCCAGACATGGGGCTCACTGACACTGAGCCTCTCAATTTTTATGGTGAACTCTCGCCGTATGTTGTCATATTTCCTTTCATTGTTAGAGGGCCTCGACCAACACAGAAGGACCCCTGACATTTGGGGCCCAGTACCATTCTATGCTTAGCAAGTGCTCCCCTGGCCGACTGAGGACCCCTTTCTGACACAGGATCCCTGTTAGGCATTGTGTGCCCCTGACCGACACAGGGTCTCCTTATTGCCCTCTGAGTGGCATTCGAGTTGCGGCTCTACGAGCATGATCCTTAACGTGACCTGAAGCGAGCCGTTCGGGCCGTTCGGCCTTCCAGTAATGCTCTTGACATTTGATCCGAGGGGCATTCGGACCCCTCTTTGGGCCCCTTCGGTCCTTTTCCACGGGACCGAAGCCGACTCAGGGGCACTTCCAAACACAGGGTTTCCTGTTGGTCACCGTGGACCCCTGACCAACACAGACCCCTCACTGTTGCATGGACCTCAACCAGTGCAAACCGCCGTCACCGGCTTTCTTCAAGCTCGACAAGAGAGACCCTGAGGTTGGAACCAGCACGGAGCCAACTGTTTGGCATTGGTGGTCTCTGGCCGAAATGAAGGCCAGCGTTGTCCCAGGGTGTCGAGCGGAGCAAGATACCCTCTAACTGACTTTCAA